TCTTTAAATCTTCTTGTTCCCATTGGTCTAGTTCGTATGGAGAGTCTCTATAACCAGAACATATCTCACGTTCATGTTCTATTTGTTTTTCATGCATTTTTCTAACTTCTTCTTCAAACAAAGGTTTTGCATTCTCTACTGTATCTTCGAGTTCTTCTTCTTCATCTAACTTCTCATGAACTTTCTTGTCTATGGAGTCCAGAATTTTTCCAACTGCTATACAATATTTTGGTGAAGCCCACATTGCAATATAGTTTACGAGTCTTGGGTCTACATACGTTCCTCTAACCTGTTTGATTTCATCAGGAATTCCTGCATGAACCTTGTATAAAAAGCAACCGTCGGAATTCCGGCGGTTGGTATATTCTTCACAAAATGCCGTATAATACTCTTCCCAGGACTTATTTTCCAACAACTTTCTAAAGTCTTTCCTAAACTGCTGACACATATTTGTTACATTTATATAACCATCCTTGTCTCTACGTAAGACTTCAATACCGTTGTAAGTGCCTTTTGTGAATGTTTCGCCATTAGATTTGTTCGTGAACGTTTTTGCTTCGACTGACATACTGTTCTTACAATAAAAATAAAAAAAATATTTTTTGGTGGGACGTCGGACATTGTCTTGAAACAGTACAAATATTGTTCTGAAAAAGTACAAATATTGTTCTGAAGCAGTGCAAGTATTGTTCTGAAAAAGTACAAGTATTGTTCTGAAGCAGTACAAGTATTGTTCTGAAAAAGTACAAGTATTGTTCTGAAACAGTACAAGTATTGTTCTGAAAAAGTACAAGTATTGTTCTGAAAAAGTACAAGTCTTGTTCTGAAACAGAAAATTTTTCTCACAAATTGAGAGCTTTTACGGGAAATTTGTTCTGAAAAAGTACAAGTATTGTTCTGAAAAAGTACAAGTATTGTTCTGAAAAAGTACAAGTATTGTTCTGAAACAGTACAAGTCTTGTTCTGAAAAAGTACAAGTATTGTTCTGAAGCAGTACAAGTATTGTTCTGAAAAAGTACAAGTATTGTTCTGAAGCAGTGCAAATATTGTCTTGAAACAGTACAAGTATTGTTCTGAAACAGTACAAATATTGTTCTGAAACAGTACAAATATTGTTCTGAAACAGAAAATTTTTCTCACAAATTGAGAGCTTTTACGGGAAATTTGTTCTGAAACAGTACAAATATTGTTCTGAAGCAGTGCAAATATTGTTCTGAAACAGTACAAATATTGTTCTGAAACAGTACAAATATTGTTCTGAAACAGTACAAGTCTTGTTCTGAAACAGTACAAGTCTTGTTCTGAAACAGTACAAACAAGTAACCTTACAAATGTAAACTTATATCGTTCTATTTTCTTCACTAGGGTCTAACACCAAAGTAACCTTACAAATGTAAACTTATATCGTTCTATTTTCTTCACTAGGGTCTAACACCAAAGTAACCTATGTACATGAAATTTCACTGCATAAAAGGAAAAAACCTGCGCGAATCGGGATTTGAACCGAGGTCTTCGACGCCTGTAACGAGGTAGCCCATACCACTGAGCTATGAGCCGCTTGCATATTTTTAAGTAAAATATAGTATATTTGTCATACAGTGAAGGATGACCAAACTTAAAAAAAATAAAGTTAGTTTTATTTTTTTCTATCTTAAGGAAATTCATGAAAATTCAACGGTTGAATTTTGTATAAAAACCAACCCGCTGTTTTCCGGCGATTGGTATATTCTTCACAAAATGCTTGTTTTGAGGTCGAGCCACTTTTGGCTCCACCGTATTCTTTCAACCAAAAACTCATTTTTCAATACTTTTTCAGCACTTTTCTGTAGTTATATATGAAAGACAATTCGAGATAAAAGTCATAGTACAATGGAACAATATGTTGCACACCATTTGTTGTGAACCAAACTTGAAAGTCAGAGAAACTGTTACTAGGTGGTTCGTAGAATTTAGAGGTAAGGTCATAAAAGTCCTTACCGATACAAAGAAAACTATTGTTGCTTGAACTAAAACTTGCATGACACATGACATTTTGAGGGTCAAACACGTTTCTATAAACTGTCAAATCTGTTGGTGGGCGTATAAACCAGAACGGACCGTCAGGTGGTAATGGTTCGTTCTGGTTTAGTAACCGAAGAAATTGTGCCCAAGAACGTTTGTCTACTTGCCAAAATAAAAACTGTGTACTTCTTGGAGGGTTAATTTCAATCCTTTGAAATGAAACGGTGGAATTCATCTTGTTGTATTCTAGTTTCAGATAGTATGTTCCATTTAGTAAAGAGTCGTATTTTTCTTGAAATTCCCAATAATATTTGTTCATTTGAGTTTGAAAGTCATTTAGAGTTTTCTCAAGACTTTCGTCTGAACGAACTGTAAAGATTCTCATTTCGTCAAATTTGTCTATTAGACCATCAGAACCTTCATATTGCCCATGAAAATATACTGCGAACATAAATGCGTTAGTTCTTTTTGAAAACAAAACTCTTCTAAATCCTATTGCCTTTGCTTCTGAAGGACTTTGAAGCCAACGAATTGGATAGTCAAACTTGTAAGCACCGGATGAAATTTCTTCATCTGATATTGCCCTACCGGCATTTGTGAAGATATAGTCTAACGGTTTTGTATCTGCTACTTTTGTTCTTTGTTTTTCAACCTGAAACATTTAATATATGTAAAAATATATTGTTTTAAAAAATGTTTTAAAATGGTATGCCATATAGCTTCTTGAATTTGTTAAGAAGTATTCGAACGCGTTTTCCATCTGTATCTCTAGCGTTTACATGAGCATAGCCCGCCTTAGTAAAATATACTTGTAATTTCCTATAGTTTACGCCGGTATAAAAGTAGAAAGAGTCTTGTTCTTCGCTATAGTAGTAAAACTCAAACGTATGCTTACCATAGTCTCTAATTTCAATTGCTTCATCTTCTAGTTCGTCGACAAATTCGAATACAATATCTCCAAATTTGCTTATGTTCTTATTGTTTTCAGAACGAGTGACCCAACGCAAGTTTTTAAGTCTATTGTCGTTTCTTATATGGTTTATATGGTCTACAAAAGGTAGATTGTTAGGATTCGGTATAAAATGAGTTGCAATGACGACATGTTTAAGATAGTGTTTTCCACTCATCCTCATATTAGCATATCCGTCATTTCGCTCCCATTCGCTTAAAACTCTTTTTGTCTCTTTCTTCCTTATTTCAAAAGGCTCAGAACAGTGAATTTCATATTTCTCATCTAACAAACAAGTTTCCCAACGGTCTACTCCAACAAACTCGGCGTACATTTCAAATAAAATAAAAAAATATTTTTTTGAAAAAATATATTTTTTCTTTACTTTACGTAACCACCAGCTACCAGAAGCCTTTGACGCCAACCCATACCAGCTAATGAAGGTTGACTTGGTTTAGTTTGGAAACTAACCTTTGGTTTTGGTTTATCTTCAGTTTTTGGCTCACCTTCTTCTATCGGTTTTTCGTCACTTTTTGGTTCACCTGACTTTACTTCACTTGCAGGTATGGTTGTGTCGTCAACATCTTCGTAAATATCATATGCCATTTGTTTTTGTTTTCCTTTCAACTTTTTGTGTTTGTTGTAAAGTTTAGAATATTTCGACTCTAAGTCAATGAGATGTTCTATAATGAACTGTTGGTCAGTAAAATATACCTTCCCATCTGTTGTCTCGAAAGCTCCTTCAGACTTCAATATTTTATTTGTGAGAGTCTGTTTCTTTTTTGAGATACTAGCCGTTCCATTTCTATGAAAAGTGACTTTATAGTTAGGGTTTGTATTTCCAGACCTGGCACTTTCTATTATTGAATTTTTCTCTTCATCTGTAAGTTCTTTGACAGGTTTTGACAATGGTTCTGAACTTTTTGTTTGTGGTGTCAAATCTACCGTTTCAACTTCTTCGGTCATTTCATCTCAGTAAAAAATTTTAGTTTGATTTGTTTTCAACTGGTTGTTGTTGTTTTTTAAGTCGGTCTAAAACTTCCTGAGGTATAGGAAGAACTTGACAAACACGTTGTGTAACTGCTGGAAGCCGACAAATCCATCTTGAACCCATTTGTCTCAATGCTGTATTGTTCATTTCATCTCAGTAAAAAACTTTACATTCCCCAAGTTTGAGGCGGTTGCGGTTGGTTGTTGTTTACCCACTGTTGTGCATGGTTATATCCTCTGTTAAAGAATCTTTCACCTTGGTCCATATAGTGCCCTGCTTGGTTATAGTAGTCATTTGCTTTGTTATAGTAGTTTCCTGCTTCTCTTCCTACATTGTCCATCCATCCTTGAACTTTTCCTCTTGTTTCAGGATTTGGAATAAGATTTGCTGCATCTCGTGCTACCTCCCAACCTTTCTGTACAGTTTGTATAATAGGTTGTGCTTTCTCTTTAAGTATACCTAATGTACTCAAAATCTTCCTTCCAACTCCAAATACACCTCTGGCTATTGTTCCCACTGCGGGCAAAAATCTGGATGCAACTCCTGCTAATGCGCCAAATAAACCCATTTCTTATGGGTTAAAAAATGACGAATCCAAACAAGGACCCCTATGTTTCTAAAGCAACAAAGAAAGCACTCATGGTAAAAATCTTTAGTTCAACACCAAATGCTTGGTTTATGGATATCTTGGAAAACATTCCGAGGTATAGAGAAGACGGACCACCATACTGGCTAATATTTGTTGGTCAAAACACAAGATACTGTGAAGCCATACCATTACAATCCAAAAATATTTTAGATGTGAAAACTGCTTTGACAATATTCGTTGACAAATACCATCCAACAAAACTGACATCTGACTGTGAAAGTTCTTTCAAATCAGACGATATTAAAAACTATCTGCGTTCAAAAAATGTAAACCAATATTTCATTGTCGACCAAAACCATTCTGCTCTTGGTGTCATTGACAGTTGTATAAAAATCTTAAGAGACTTAAACCAACCACAAGGTGGTGAAGCAAATGAAATGTCATATGACGACAAATATAGACATTTCTCCATGGCAAAGATGAGACAAGTTTTAAATATTTACAATAACCGTAAACAAAAAGGTTTGGGAAACCACTCCCCCGAAGAAATGAAAAACAACCCCGACTTAGAGAAAGACTATATATTTAATAGTTTAGTCAAAAGAGACAAACAAGAAAGAATGCCAGGCTTCAAACTTAAGAAAGGTGACAAAGTAAAAATAGAAATACCTAAACGCGACCCATATGAAAATACTATTGACTATGACAACAATGGGAACTCGACAGGTACTCACATTCGTGTTCGTAAAAATAGAAGAAAGTATACAAGAGAATATTATGAAGTTTTAGGCAAACATGGCAAAATGTACAGACTGCAAGCAGAAGATAAAACTACTATTGTCAGACCTCGTTTCAAACTTGTCAAAGTTCAAGGTGGTATACTTTCAAAGACAGTTCCTAACAAATATAAGACAACTCCTGACGAATATGCTAAAGAAGTTGAAAATGACGACTAAGCATTTCTATACCATGCGTAAACTGTCATGTAAGGTGGCATGTAGTCTTTACTTTGTCCCGTTGTTTGCGTATATCCTGAAACGCGATGTGTATGGCTTCCTCCTACCTCAGTGTTACTCCAGTAACAATTTATAGCAAAACTTAACGTCCTCTTTAACATCATATCCTTTACCTTTTGTCATTCCTGACCAATCCCAAAATCTATGACTATGCAAACCTGCTTCAGATGTAGTTAAACTTACGTAGTGACTGTGCGCAGGTAAATTTGCACCTGAAATCGTTTTACTTCCACCTGTTTCCTTTGAAGAGTTTGCACAATACAAAAACCTGTCGACTATTTGAGTCCAAGTTCCAAAACCAAGTACTACTTCTGGTCTGGTAGAGTTCATTGACGTGTAAATAGAACCTATAGGATATACTGTTTGAAGTATTTCTGTCTTTAACGTTTGAAGCTCTGTTTTGTCAGCTTTTTTATCATATAAATCTTGAGCAGTGAATTTAACTTTGTTTTCATCCTCCATGACATAGACATTTCTACATCTAATGTATCTCATCGTTGTTATGTCTTCATCCGATGTTAAACCTTGTGGAAAGTTAGGAGGTTTCCAATTTAATACATCCCACCAGTTTCTTCAACCGTTCCTTCAATATTTTCTATACCAACAGTTGCGAAGAAATCGTGTGTATGTCCAACGTCACTTTTCCTGTTTAAGGTTTCTTGTAAGTTTGTAATATTTGCAATGGTATGTGTATGAGTCTTTTTAGAATATTCTTTGTCAGCTCTTGTCACTTCACTTGACATTTTATTGTCAACATATGTTTTATCCGCTTTGTCATCTAACATTGCTGGTAGTTCATCTACGTCATAGATGTTATGTGTATGGTGTTTTTGTGGGTATGTTCTATCTGTCCATGCGAGAATATAGTCTCTTGTTGCATCTACATACTCTTTGTCAGCTTTGTTGTCAATATCTGCTTTCAAAAGAAGTTCATCTATAGGTTTCTCGTTTAAAGTTCTTTTTGTTGGATTTATACAAACAGTATGGTTCTTACTGTCTTGAAACAGAAACTCATCTGTCATTGGGTTTATCGTCAGTTTTAAGTTTCCTTCTTTCAATGACTCAGATATCTTAGAATAGTTTGAAAAGTTTGTTGTGTTCTTATTTAGAGCTTGCAAAATGAGTTGTCGGTTGTGTTTGTATTTCTCTCATAGACGCTGTTTCTTTCGACATTTTTATTCTAGATAAAATATGCTTCCAATAGAAAAAGAAAATTCAAGAGTTGCTACAACTAAACCATTAGATGAACTTTTTACTAATGTCGGTCAAAAGTTTGAGACAGAGACCGTAAAGCATGAAGGCTATCGTTTTGACTACCCATTAAGATGGCTAAGAGACCCATCTGTCACAAAAGCTATTGGCTTTCGTAGAATGAAGTTTGTGTCTGTAGAAGATAAAAGTTTTCCATTTATTGTAAGGTTTCATATAGATTATATATCTGAAGGGAAACGAAAAATGTGGGAAGAAATTGAGCTAATACAAGTTGACCTTTCATCTTCTCTACAGACTGCGTTAAAAAATATAGAAGATAAAATAAATTCATGTTATGCAAAATATGCTGATGAATATGCAAATACCGAGAGCACACTTTATGTGAGAATTGTATATGACAAACAAAATTCACAAGTGTCATTTCAAATCTACGAAGACAATCCAAAGAAAGACGAACAAATATATACAGAATTCACTGCAATGTCATGGTATTATTTGCAAAGAATGTTAAATCAGAAAGTCGAACTTCCTTTAGCAAATATTTACAGTCGATATGCAAGAGATGAACCATATTTATTTAAAGATGTTTTCGACCCAGCTGCTATTATAGTTCATGCTTCATTTTCTGGTGCACAAAACTCTTTTTTATGCTTGGCAAATGACTTTTACGAAAAACCTACAAAGCTATATGAACCACCAAGTGGAAGTATTTCAGACTTTCAAGTATGGTTTACAACAGATGGAAGAAAGAGAATAGTTCCATTATACCATGCGTTTTACTTAGAACTTAGTTTCATATACAACTACTATCGAACGGTAAAAATATAATTTTTTAATACGGTTGAGGTGTTGGATTTGGTTGCCAACTAGACTGTGGTGCAGGTTCAGGCTGTTGTATAACAGGAGCTTGTTCTTCTGGTTCAGGGTCTTTAGGTATAATACCAACAAACTGACCTACTCTTTTACCAATATTTTTGACTCCGTTCCAAATTCCTCTTCCGACAGATTTTATTCCATTCCATATACCTCTTCCAACATTTCGAAAGAAGTTTCCTATTCTTCCAAAGAAACCCATTTTACTATATGTAAAAATCTAATGTCCGCCTAGTCTCTTACGTTTCCTGTTGAGTTCCATAGCATTCTTTAACTGGAGCTCATACATTCTGTTTCTCCTCTGGTAGAAAACATACTCTGGGTCAACTCCTGTGTTCGCGTCATCTGCATAGAGTTGTTTTATATCCCACTTCGGGTTTGTATAAAACTCTTTCCATCTCATATTTGCATACCATGGTGGTAAGCCTAACGCAGCGTCATTTGACATGGCAGTTTGCATTTGTACATCTGTTGGCACTTGACCATAGTTTGCCATTGCAGTTTGTATTCTAACTTCATTTGGAATATTCTCTGGGTTTGGTTGTCCAGGTTGCTGTGCATTTGCTAAGTTCTGTGCGTCCATTTAATATTAGATAAAAATATCTCTTACGAGTACATATACTGAACATTTGCAGGCATTGGTTCATCTTCATATTCTCTGTACTTTTCTGCCACGTCAAATAAATAAATGACACAATGGAAAAACCTAAAACAAGTAGTCCTATTTCAAACCACATTTACTTACAATAAAATTTCTTTGTTATGACACTTTCTCCAGTTTATAGGACCTCTCTCATATTCTATCTTATCGTATCTAAACTCATAGTCATGTATGTCCTCTAACCATCTCATGACACTTTCCAAACCACTTTTATCGGATGTAAAGTAAAAGCATGGATGGTTATGTAAAACGTCTAAAGTTTCTAAAGAGTCTCTCAAAGTCCAGTCTACTTGGTATTGAAAAATCCCATGTGTTATAGAACGGCGGGTCCACTATAAAGAAAACATTTTCCTTGTCTTTATATTTTTCATACAACTCTGTCCAATGACATCTCACAAACTCTATACCCTCAATATATTTTTCTATGTCCTCTTTGAAAACATTTGTATAGTTAGATATAAAACTTTTGACATAAGTGTTTCAATGTCATGAACTCTTATAGCACCACTATATATAGTCTAGCAGATATACTATCCCAGTCTATATATTCTGCTTTTTTCAAAACCTCTCTGACATATTTTTCTTATCTAATGGTATACGTTCATCTTACCTATAGGTATCTTTTTCTTTTACTCTTTCATATATTGTTTGTGTCTGGTATATGTTTGAGACGGTCCATATAGTTGTCGAAGTCATTGCATATAATCTTTGAGTCTGGGAATATTGTATGGCACAAATGGGATATATAGAAACTTCCACCGAACAAATCTTACAAATGTTAGACCATTCGGTAGTTTCTTAAGTTCTCTCAATATAATATCTTTACATTTACTCTTATTTCCAAAGAACGGTAACGGTGGTTTTGTAAAATTCATTTATATATAATAATAAAAATGTTTTTTCCTGAAAAGTGACAGAAAAGCGGTTTTTGACAGACGTTTTATTGTGACTTCTTCGTAAAGACTTTGTTGAGATTTCTTCGTAAATGAGTGTAAATGACCCAAAAATATATTTTAGGGTAGAAGGTTAGATATAACTCTTTTCTAACCTCTTTTCTACCCTCTTGAATTTTCATGAATTTCTTCGTAAAGACTTTGTTAAGACTTCTTCGTAAAGACTTTGTTGAGACTTCTTCGTAAAGACTTTGTCAAGACTTCATCGTAAAGACTTTGTTGAGATTTCTTCGTAAATGACCCTAGTAGTATATTTTTGGTGTAAATTTCATGAAAATTCAAGAGGGTAGAAAAGAGGTTAGAAAAGAGGTTATATCTAACCTTCTACCCTAAATATATTTTTGGTGTAAATTTCATGAAAATTCAAGAGGGTAGAAAAGAGGTTAGAAAAGAGGTTATATCTAACCTTCTACCCTAAAATATATTTTTGTCTGATTTACACTCATTTACGATGAAGAAGTCTCAACAAAACATTTACGAAGAAGAAGTCTTGACAAAACATTTACGAAGAAGAAGTCTTGACAAAACATTTACGAAGAAGAAGTCTTGACAAAACATTTACGAAGAAGTCTTGACAAAACATTTACGAAGAAGTCTTGACAAATTCAAGAGGGTAGAAAGGAGGTTAGAAAAGAGGTTATATCTAACCTTCTACCCTAAAATATATTTTTGTCTGATTTACACTCATTGACGATGAAGAAGTCTCAACAAAACATTTACGAAGAAGAAGTCTTGACAAAACATTTACGAAGAAGAAGTCTTGACAAAACATGAAAACATATATAATTTGTGAAAAGTGAAACATTATATAATGTTTTCGACCAAGAAGACTAACAATTTTCCGAATAAAAACTTCATTTATACTAAACATCTTCAGGGCTAGAAGGCACGAAGTGCCTGGAAGCCCCACTACCTTTTTTTTTTTTTTTTTTTTTTTTTTTTTTTTTTTTTTTTTTTTTTTTTTCTTTTCTATTTATTTTGTTCTAAAATTCTAAATATTTTTTTTTCATAACATAAAATATGATGTCTAGTCTCATTTACATAACAACATGCCTTAGAATAGGTTTTTTATTCTTTTTGTCACTTTAAATTAAGAATAAAAAGATAATTTAAATTGAATATTTGCGATTATTCTCACTAATGCTGCTTCCTCTTTTATTAGGTAGACAACAAAAAGTTAGCCTTGGACTCCCATATCAGATTTTTGATTGGTTGCGTATATAATGAGCTGGGATTGATAG